TGGACTAAGTAACAAGCATTAAATTGATTCTCACCGAATGAATTTACTGAAAATCATTTCACACACTTTTACACTCTCAAGCTTGTGAGGAGTATCGGGTGTTGTTGGGAACATTCACACAAAGCTTAATGCAATCTTTTAATCTAATTCTAAGAGCTTATTTAGATAAGGTTAGTAAGGTTAGGGTTAATCAAATAGCTTTGTTTAATTAATGTGGTGAATGGGAAGTGTTAGAGCTTGTTATCACTTCCAAGTACCAACGTAGATGGAATTGAGCAAATATCATGTAATCTTGGAATCACATTGCTAAGTTGTCATACATATAGTTGGAGTCCTTTCAAACTCTGAATTTAATTTACTCGTTTAGCTGATTACTTGTGTCTTTAATTGTTTGTTTAATCATTGCATTCTAAACCCCCCTCTCCTTACTATTGATGACCATAGTACCTTGTGTAAAGAGGTATAGATTGATTGTTCCGTGTCTCTGTGGATCGACCCTACTTGCTATGTACTACTTTTTAGTGCAATATAGTAGTGTTCTTTTGGAGTATATTGTACGCCTTTATTTGTTGGGTTTGACACGCCTAACAGTGATTCATTGGATTAAGCCAAAGCACATGAAATCTTAAGGAAACTCAACATGAAGAATTCAAAAAGAGTTCATGTTTAATAAATATGGGATGACAATGAGCGATGCTAATGTCCTAGTTCAATTATTGAGCTAAGGGAAATAAGTTGTTTCCTACATGCTTTGGCTATGGAATCTATACTATATGCCATAACATGTGCCGTATTTTATGATTCGTATTCCTTGAGCATGACAAGTCATAATAGATTAATTTGGTTAAAACCAAAGAATCAAGATCAAGAACATTCCTAAGTGTCCTAAGAGGACAAAGGAAATGATCTTCTTGGTGTGGAAGATATAAATATAAAAGTTACACTGATTCTAAGTTCCACACTAATAAAAATGATTATGTTCATAGTCATAATTCTTGTTATTATTAAATGGTGAAGTATTAGCTTGGAAGAGTACAGAGTAGTACACCATAATGGATTTAACAATAAACTTAGAGTATATTGCAACTACCAAAACCGCGAAGAAAAACTATATGACTAAAATATATTCATTAGAGATATTAGTGTTAAAATTTAATCATTAATGGTCATTTTGAAGTTTCTTGTGATTATAATGGTGAACTTACTTCAACGTTGGATCCCATGTCACGTAAGCTCACATGATACATACCCAGCAAGTACCATCACATTTGATAGTAGTTCAAATGTAGAGACAACATAGTCAATAGAGTCATATTAGAAGATAATATTGTCGGTTCATTCCCTAAGCCAATGTCACTGACCAAGTCTAACAGCGAGACAAAGTCAAGATGCATTAGATTTTCAAATAAATAGGCTTAAACAATCTTACTTTAGTTTGTTTTAAATTTGATAACTTAAGTAGTATAAGTCTTATTTAATTTGGCGATTATTAAGTGGAGATTTTAATATATGATGGAGATCAGTCAGTTCAATTAACTTACCACTGTGTTCTCCTTTTACATGTTTGGAACCTACTTCTCGAGTATTAATTTCCTCAAACCTCCATAGTCAGTCATACTCTTGGAAGTATTTTACATGTTTGGAACCTACTTCTCGAGTATTAATTTCCTCAAACCTCCATAGTCAGTCATACTCTTGGAAGTAAGTAAGTGATTTAAGACTGTCATGAGTATTGATGGATTGTCCATAGTGGTTGTGCAAATCATAGAGATTGCACTAACACTTTTGAGTACTTAATAAATATCTAAGTATCAGAATAGCTCGTACATAGAGATTACTTTACAGATACATTTACGAATAATTCTAAGACAATAATATATTCTATTCTTCAAACCAAGATACATGTAGGGTTTTGCTCTATAAATATTTTATGCATTGGTATACTCAAACGTTATCCACAACCGGTGACAATAAAGGGTATGTCCATGTGTGATATGATGAAGTAGATAAAAACTATATATTGAAAGTTTATTTGTTCCTTCTTCCCTAAAAAGAGAAGTGATATCTATTGGACCCTCAATAATTTTGTGCTGACATCTAAAGTGATTGGCTAGACCCTGATTGAAATTGATGTGTTCAATTTAGTAGTTAGATGCATTCGTCACAAATCCATATCATGAAACAATGAGTTATGTAATGAACTCCATATGGTTTCAAGGTTGATCATGAAGACTCTAGAACCCTAATGAGATCTAGGGTTAGACGAAAACTCCTTATCACACATGGGAGGAGGAGTGAATTTCGTTTTTGGCTGCTTGTCCCAAATGTGATGGATGATAAAACCTAGGAAGGGACCCAAGGCTATGAATAGGGACTTAGTCATCACATCCTTCCTTGCTCCTTGGCTTGATTTTTCGCCACCCTTCTTCCTATTTCTTTATAGGGAAGATTTATATCGCTTTTAGGGTTTTTGAAATTGACCCTTTCCTAGTTATTGTGTTGTTCCACTCTTAGGAGTCATTGAGTGTGATACATAGGAGGTATGTTATTCTTCTTTATATTTAGGGTTTGGGTCCTCCGATCCAAGCAACTTTAAAGTGGACAAGATCTCAAGCATGGAGATCAACGACTACATAGGAGGTATGTTATTCTTCTTTGTGTTTTATGTTCATAGGATATCAATGATAGTATGGAACCTGGATCCTTAAGTTGCATGTAAACTTAGGTATATCATACATTGATTTTTCCGCTACCTAGTTTAAGTGTATTTGAGGCATAGAAAACCCAAAAGAAAGGCCTCCCGTCTTCACCATTTCCCGATTATCACACCAGTTTATGCATTTTGTCTTAGCACTCAAACTACGGGGGCTTATTAGTGTATATTTTATTATATCAAACCCAATATTGTATTTCTGGGCCTAGCTTATTTATTATACTCTACACTATTTATCTAAGAGGAATAAGAATCAGTAAAACAATTTATCATTGACAAACCAAAATTACAAAGTTTGGGTTGCATGATCAATATATTTAAACTATTCATGTGTTTGTGAATTACATTTTTGTCCTCCCCAAGATCTGAGTGAAAGTGTTTGAGTCATCTTGCTGCCCTACAACAATTTTTCACACGTGTGTACCCTTGTTATGCAATGCTTCTTATATAGGTCTTGAAGAATCACACCAATGATTCCATTCATACACTCATGATAATTTCACTGTCATCGTCACAATAACCAATGGCCGAAACTTGAAACCATATGGAGTTCATTACATAACTCATTGTTTCCTTTATAATTATTTTGGTTAAGACATGTGATGGATAATGTGCGGTTCTGTGAATGTTTATAGAGTTGTTCTTTTGTGAACCATACTAAATCCACTGTACCGATCTCAGTTCAGGAATTCAAAATTTTTTGTGTCCTTTGTGGGCCATACCAAATCAACCATACTTGTATTTCCCTTTGTATTTCCTCTGGTTTAATGAATATCATAAACCTATAACCAAAGTCATTATGGGAATTCATGGATATATTCATATTTGATTTGGTGATTATTTATGGTAACGACAGAAGTCGCTGGGTGATTCTGTCAATACTACTTCCTATTGGCCATCATCAAACTGAAAAACAAACTTGGCTGGAATTTAAAATAAAAGCTTCTAATGTTGCAAATAAAATACTTGGTATGTAAATTTAAGGAATGGATCCATAAACAATGTATACTTATGACAAAGCAGCTACATCAAAAAAGTTCTACACTAACTCAACGTGCAAAATGTCAAACCAATAAGTACTCCTCTTTCCAAATTTGTCGACAAACAAATGAGGAAATTGATCATATGTCAAAGGTTTTGTATTTAAGTGTGTTTGGATTGTTAATGTATGCCATGATGGTGACTTATCACATGAATTGAGAGTTTAAGTTATTTTATGGCTAACAATGGATCTTCTTGTACCTTAAAGGAACTTGTGAGGCCCAAATTTTGGAAAATCAACATTTGGTTTATGTGGATTCGTTGATTTAAATTATACATGTGATCTCAACAAAAGATCAGTCATGGTTATTTTTCCAATATCGGTGATTGCATTGAAGTTGGAAGGCTACACATCAAATCCACCTGGGCTTTGTCTGCTAGGGAAGGTAAGTTTATAAGCGTGTAAAGAGGCTACATGTCTTAGAGGGTGGCAGTGTGTGAGATATGTGGTGATTTTTCATGAACTATATTTTATTGCGATAGTGAAAATGTGATATGAATCACGAACGATTTGATGTTACACAAGAAAACAATCACATTGACAGAAGACACCATTACATCAAAATGTCATTGCCCAACGCAATATCAACGTGACCAAGAGTGACACCAATAACAGTTTGGGCAACATGATGACAAAACCGGTTCGATTAACAATTTTTTGAACATTGTATGTTTTTCATTTTCTTGAGATGGTTGAAGTTTACTTTTCTAAAGATTGGTTTTGTCCTAGTGAGGAATTTGTTAAATATGCTCTTAACCTTCCATGGTAGGTGACCTTTCTAGAAATTGTAGCGAAAGAGTTTTGGTTGCTGTCAAAGTTACCTTTTTTCCTAATACTGTGTTTTATTTGGGATATCTGTTCCTGACTTTTATAGTTTCGTAGGAGAGATGTTTTAATAATTTCTCATATATATATATATATATATATATATATATATATATATATATATATATATATATATATAGGGCTATTACATGTTCTTTTAATCTCCTTTCTTCCCTTTTAAGAGATTAATATAGTGTCCTTCATAGTGGTTTTCCCATTTTAGGTTTCCACTCTAAACTATGTTTTGTGTGATTTTCCTTGACAATAATTATCTTACAACACTGCTTGTAAAACCATTTTATAGTTTCTTGTCAGTGGGCTTGTATTCAATCATATACTGGTAATGTCTTTTAAAGCTCAACAATTTGTGGTGGCATAGTTGGCTGAGGTTGTGGTGGTTGCTTGGTGGCTGTAGGAATCCTAACTAAATGTTCCTTGATGATCTTCCTTCAACCTGTGTAGATAACCAGTCAAATGATGTCCACAACTGTTTTTGTATTTATAAGACGAAACTAAAAACTTAAAAACATACTCGAATGTTAATGTTGGATTCCTTGATGCGACTGTCATGCGGATCTGCGTTCTATCAGCTGGATCGGTTTCAATTCTTACCAAACATAGCATAGCTCCTGTACTCTGGGAATAGAAGGTTGTGCTTGCAACTATATTATTTACACTTGTATCCTGAAAGTTAATCAAATTTTAATCAACAATGTTAAAGGGGATATTGTTTATATTTTATGATACTACGAAGAACAAACACCATCAAGGTGAGTCATTGGTGATCTCTTGGGAACTAACCACTCCAAAATGGAGTTTCCCCAAGTTCGAATGTCAGAAGCTTCAACCTTGGGATGACCTGCTGTTAAATAAAATAACCACAATTACAAAGAACATACCAGTCCTTGACAAACCATCAACCTTAAGCTATTGAACAAATTTTCCATTTCTTTCAATGATATTGGTCTCACACCCCTAACCTGTACAAATTATGATGGATGTCACATAACTTACTCAATAATTGATGTAAAGACAGATGTAAAATGCACAAACCACTTGTTGAAGTTTCAAAGGAGGTCCAGCTAGTGATCTCCACTGGGAGAAAAAATTCTCAACGGATACTTGAATAGGATTCAAGAATTTGTTCAAGACTATAGGAAGGCGAAGTCTATTAATAACCTGCATCAAAAATTTAAAAAACTTAACGCATGCAACTAAAACAAAACCTTGCAGATAAAGAATATCCAAAAATAAAGAATTAGTTAAATACCAATTTCTTTTGAAACTTGTAGGAGAAATCGAGAACAGCAACATCGCAACTTGGGTTGAGATTTATCACTTCAAGTGGGCATTGAACCTAAACAATTACAAAAACACCGTTTAAAGAAAATCTTTATTCAATATTCAATTAAAATGCAATATTGAACAATGTATCAAAAACATTTAAACATGTTTGACCTGTGCACGTGGAGCTATAGTTTCTGGTACTAATGAAAGCTCCAACTTCAAATGGGGTAGAGGTAATATCACCACATGTACTGATTCAAGTGGGGCACTAGCATTCTTGTTTCCAATGAAAAGTACAATGCGGCCATAGTGTTTTTGCCATTCTGCTTTGATGCCAATCTAGGAAATATAATATATATCCAATAACAAGAATCATTAGTACCTTAGTTTTCCATTAGAGTATAATTAACAATACATATAATAAATGATTTACCTGAATATAAGGATCTTCATACAGGACTCCTATATCTTTGAGGCATAAAGCATAGAATCCTTCTGCTATATCTCTTATTGGCTGTGAGAAGATTAAGGGTAGGTAAAAATTGAGATAAAAAAGATACGGAGGATGTTGGATCACAGGCCCTCAAGTCGTCTCTCAAATAACACACACTCACAGGTATATATGTATACAGAAAACAAATATGGAGAGATGGAAGTATTTTGGACTCAAAGCTGCTACACTTTATTCAATAGATATGAGACTATTTATAGCTATACATGCTAAACTCTAGCAGGAAATAGTAAAACTCACGTGCCCACCTTTCCAGCAGCAATCATGCTTCTAATACTCCCTAATACACGGTCCTTCATTGACAGTTTCAACTTACTAACATTTATTTAATTGACTAGATAAACTAAATACTAAAACACCACTAAAATAACAACCTATCAAGACTAAAAACCCAACAGGGGACTAATAAGGTCAGTGGATATGCATGATATACAGGAAAGAGACAATACCTTTACATTAGTATCCTGGTCTTTAACAGGAAGACATGCTAAGCCTATCGAAGGTCCTCCTAGTGAAGTTGGGAGAGGTCGTGGTGGCTGTATCAATCCTAACCACATATTTCTTGATGAATTCTTTCAACCTGTGTAGAAAAGTATTCAAATGATCTCCACATTTGTGTGTATTTATATCAAACTAAAATCTGAAAAACCTACTGGAATGTTAGTGTTGGATTCCTTGATGCAACTGTCATGCGGAGCTGTGTTCTGTCAGCTGGATCTGTTTCAATTCTTACCAAGCATAACATGGCTCCTATATCCTTGGAATAGAAGTCTGTGCTTGCAACTAGATTATTTGCATTTGGATCCTGAAAATATGCAAGATTTAGTTAAGAATATTAATTAAAGGGAATATGAGTTATATCTTAGTATACTGCAAAGATCTTACCAGTCCAGGACAAACCATCAACCTCAAACTATGGAACAATTTTGTCATTTCTTCCAATGACATCAAATTCACACCTTTAACCTGTACACATTATGATGGATGTGACATAACTTACTCAAAAATTGATATAAAGATGATGTAACATGCACAAACCACTTCTTGAAGTTTCAGAGGAGGTCTGGCTAGTAATCTCCACTCAGAGAAAAATTCCTCTGCGGATACTTTAATAGGATTAAGAAATTCTTTCAAGAGTGCAGGAAAGCGAAGTCGATTATTAACCTGTGCAAGGGATTTAAAAAAAATCAAATACCACATACAACAAAACCTTGAAGATGAGGAATAACCAAAAAAAAAAAAAAAACTGCAATATGCAACCAGATATTAAGAACATGTCTGACCTTGTATCCAACAGGTGCAAGTGCTACCACATCATCTGAAACACTGTTATGCTCTTGTGGAACCGATACACCAGGAAGATCTTCAATAATCAGTGGCATTATAATACCCCCAACCATATTAGCAGCAGGAGGAGAATGAATATGTGGAAGCTGTGAATCAACAACACTCAGGAGTCACTTCTGACAAAATTGCAGACTACACACGTCACACATGTATGTATTACATTACAATGTGCTACACATCCGTGGGTGCGTACGTACATACATACACACATACATACATACATAAACAAAAGCACAAACACACTTACGTGCATGATTAATGTTGGGTGAGAACAAAACAATTTAAGCACTTCAGACAAGTATCAAAAACAAACTTCGGTGAACTCACAAAACTTCTGAAAAACGTAAATCAAAAGAACATGATATTTAACATGGTTCGGTCAAGGTGACCTACGTCAATGAGCGAACAAGAGAGGATTTTATTAAATTTGTGGAACTATTACAAGCACTCAAAATTGTATCTCACGTTGAGCTTTCACAAAAATCTAGCAATTTACAATGATGGGGTATGAGTCTATTTATACTTGAGGGTTCAGACCTAAATACCCTAATGGGCCAAGCCCATTGGCCCATGGGCCCATGAAAGGTGACAACTAATTATATTCCGCCATTCAACATGTTTTGGTACATTCTTCCATGTCATATAACCCATGAGCATCAGCAACACACATGTTGGAGCACCTTCTGCCATAGTTGAGCATCATGATGTATAAATGGTGCATCATGAACACTAATGGCCTAACATCCATCCCCACAACATGGTGTGATCCTTGAGCAATAACTTCTTAGCATCCTTGAACGATCTTGAGCATCATAGAGGATTTCATTGCATACTTGGCTCATCAAGGACGAAGATGGTCCGTCTTGCGTCATCATGGCGCAACAGGAATATGGATGGCGCAAGTGGCTTCAAGTGTGGCACAAGAACATCAAGATTGGAGCAACAATACCATCATGACGCAACAAGGCCATGAATTGCAGAAGAGCATACCTCATGGAGAAAGAGGAGTACCCTATGGCGCAAGAGGGATCCTCATGGTGCGAGAGGGAGCATTATGGCACAAGAGCATCCTTCTTGGCCCATCCCTTTAACATATGGAGCAACAAGGTGCCTTGTTGCTCCATATCACTCCGAAGTGCTCCAAACCTCTTCCAGATGCTCTAAACCCCCTTCTGCATGATTCATTCCTTTGGCACTTGATCCGCTCATTTGTTAGACGATCCATTCCTTTCTCAGATGATCCGTTCCTTTTGTCACATGCTCCATGAACCCCAAGTGGTCCATTATAATCTAAGTGCTCCATGTTGGACACGACTACATACCCCAACAATTAATAAAGATATACATAATTACATGCATTCATATACACACATACATACATATAAATATATACATACATCAAAAAAACTAACACACACATGTAGATAAATGCATACATACATACATACATACATACATACATATATACATACATACATACATATATGCATGCATACATACATACATACATACACATACACATACACATACATACATACATACACACACATAAACAAATATACATACATACATTGTTAGGATGAAGGACTTCAACAAACACAAAACAAAATATTGTAGATGCTAAAGAAAAATATGAACACAAGAAGTTAACATGGTTCACTTGATCAAAGTAATTAAGTTATGCCCAAAGGCAATATAGGAAATGACCTAATATTGAGAGATTTATTTATTATAACAACCGTTTGACCTAATTTCTTCTCGACTGAGGCTCGTCGTCATATGGCATCACCGACATAAGTTGGCCCATTATAGCATACTTTTCCCTTAGGTTGGACTGATATTACAGTCCAAGATTGCTTTTAAACACCAAAAGTCAAAGTAAGGAATACACCAAAAGTGAGGTCGCGTGTTGGTGTTCAGCTGTGTTGCAAAACCTTCTCTTGTCAAAACCTTCACCTCTGAAACCTTCCTTCACCTCACAGTTATACTTCCAGGTTGTGCTTCAGATATTGCTCATAGCCTCACCTTCGAGGCTTCTCTTAGAAACAACACTCAGTCACCTTTGTCAAATGGATTCACTCTCAGCCGAAGCCAAGACTCCATTTTCTGCCAAATATTTGTTCTAACAACTTCACCCTTATGATCATGATCCACTACTCAATAATCTCCCGTTTAGAGACCACTTGACCAATCGGTTTACACCCATAGTCCTCAATCACTACAAACTCTTGGCTTCCATTTCCATTGCAACATGCCCTTCAACATTTTTTCAGCGCCACACCTCCGTCTTTTTAGCTCGTCTTCTTTCCTTGTAAGTCGGTTAAGCTTGAAATCAAGCCCATCAGTAAAAGGGAAACGATGTTTTCACTTAGGTATTTCCTCGGAAACTAAAGTAGAAATCTTCCTTATCATCTAGGAAATTAAGGCTCCCTAATTTGACAACTCAATCCCGATTATAGTTTTCAACAAGGGCATCCAAGCATGGCTATGAAGGTCGGTCTGCTAAGAGCTTAATCAAGGATGAAGCTGAACATAGTGACTGGGTTAGTGATTTAAGAGAAACAATGATGAGTTTGTATCCAGAAAAAAGAATGGAGTTGGGAATTGAGGATGAGGGAAGGATTCAGGTAGCTCAAGAGGGAGAGGGCAATTTGGTGGTGAAGTAGAGAGAAAAAACTGAAAGATTTTCTTGTGATAAAATAAGAGAGGATGATGGGTTTACGTTTGGATTTTGTAACAAAGAGATGGCCGAAATGTGATATTGACTTTCCAATGGCTGATGTGGCAAAAGTAGCTAACGTGACATTGAAACCAGCTAAAATAAGTCCTAGTGACTAAAAAACAGGTTGTTTCCTAACTTATGCCCCCATAAAGCAACAAAAATACTTTAAGGACTAAATAGATCAACCCTAAAAACTTTGTAGGGCATTTATGTTGTTTCTCCTTTTTTTTTTAAATATATTTTTCATGTTAATCAGCTATAGAGAAGGCATCAATGTTATATCTTGATAGTTGCAATTGCAAGAATTAGACATGAACATCCCTGTAATTTGTGGGTATGTATACTTTAAGGGAAATTAAGTAATCTAACGATTATATATAAGTTTTAAAAAAAATAACCATCATTTTTTAGTTTTTTTGAAAAATAACCACTTTCTCCAGAATGCCTTTTTCCAAAGTACTCAAGTTTCAATTTTTTTTAAAAAATTTTCAAAAAAATCTTTTTGTTTTTTTTGGGATCCCGAATGCTTCATTTTGGATTGTTTAATTTCACTGCTTCTCAATAAAATTTCTAATTTTATACACTAATATCGTATATAGCTCACATTACTATACTCTTTTTTTTTTGTTAAATTTAAGTAGAAAATGATTTTTTTTCTTCAAAATTCCGGAATTGTTCTTCGGATTACAAATTTGTTCTTGAAATTCTAGTTATTTAAATCTGAAATGTTAGTCCGGAATGTCGTTCCGAAATAAGTAAAAATAAAGTGTTTTTTCTTGGTCAGGAATGCCCATCCGGAGAATGTGGTTATTTTTGCTAAAAAAAGGTTGGATCCTTTTCTTTAAATATGCATTAAAAAGTGGTTAGAATGCTTAATTTCCTATATTTTAATTAGATTGAAGATGTAACCCTTTTTTTTTTTTTTTTTTTTTTTTTTTTTTTTTTTTTTTTTTGCAAAAACACCAATGTTCTAGGGAAAATGTGTCCTGTTTTAGACATGATTTAGGACCTTTATTATATAATTTGTGGGTATGTATAATCTAGATCGTTTAATTAAAATGATTTTATGTTAAAAAATTATTAATCTTTAATTACCATAATCCAAGAAATAAAAACAAGGAAGGAAGCAAGAAGATTGATTTTGATTAATGACATGGGTTTTTCGTTTGTAATCGATTGATTTTGGGTGTGTGCTTATGAATGGTAATCAAATTTTGTTATTTGGTTTTAGGTTTATGATCTAGATTAATTCTCGTTTTCAATAAGATTTGTAGAATATGATGTCCTATAGCACATTGTTTTTACTTTTTGGCTTAAGTTGCAGCCCTTAGCTAGCGATAACGTATAACATATTCACGGTCTGTAGTTGCAGGCACCTTCACTTTTTTATTTTCAATTTTCTATAAAAATGGATTTGTTCATGGTTTATTTTAATTTCGCTAGACTGTTCTTCCAACAAGTATGAGTATACATGATGTATATGCACATGACTCTATTCAGGAATAGGTAAATACTTTCTAGTACAATAGGTTTTTTATCATGTATTTTATGTATCTAACTAAGATGCTTATTTATTATTGTTTACAAGCAATTAAACATAATCTTGTATTCTTCTTCTTTTCATTTTACAAGGTTTTTTTTGTTTTACATAAAGGGTCTTTCTAGATTTGAAAACTCTTAATGTTGATGTATGAAGTCTTGTCTAACATCGAGCACTTAGAATCAAGTGGAGCACTTGGATGAAGCATTTTGAGTTCACTTGGAGCACTTAGAACTTAATGGAGAACTTGAGGTTCATGAAGCATGTGGCAAAGGAATGGATCATCTGAGAAAGGAATGGATCGTCCGACAAAGGAATGGAACAAGTGCCAAAGGAACCGGTCGTACAGAAGGGGTTTGAAGCACCTCGAAGAGGTTTGGAGCACTTGGGAGTGATATGGAGCACCAAGGGGACCTTGTTGCGCCAACTGGTGAAGACTTGGGCCAAGAAGGATGTTGTTACGCCAAGGGCACTCCTTCTTGTGCCATGATACTCCCTCTTGCACCATGGAGCATCCCTCTTGTGCCATGGGGTACTCTTGTTGCGCCATAGAGTACGATGTTGCACCAAACATGGTCTTGTTGCGCCATGCATGTTATTGTTGCACCAAGATAGTGATGTTGCTCCAACCTAGATGCTCTTGTGTCACACTTGATGCCTTTTGCGTCATCCATATTCGTGTTGCGCCATGACGGGCCAAGATGGACATCTTGGTCCTTGATGATGCAGGTATGTTATGAAGTCCTCAATGATGCTTAAGATCATTCAAGGATGCTCGAAAGTTGGTATTGCTCAACATATACACCATGTTGTGCCACCATGAT